CTCTGGATCCGGGCGCGGAGCAGATCATGATGCTGAACAACGGCTGCCTGTGCTGTACCGTGAGGGACGACCTCGTGTCCATGCTCAACACGCTGGTGGGCTGAGGCTGCTGGTTGAAGCTGCCTCATAGTAGCGGCGGCTGTGGCACCCACGTTCAGTTAGTCCTGGAGCTGGCTGGACGATGCCGCTGCTGCGGCTGTGGATGCTGTTGTATTTGGCAATTGTGGCCGGAGGCTGCTGCTGGGCTGTGATGGCTATGGCTGCTGCAGGGGGCACGCCTTGTTGCTGTGGGGGCTGTACCGTACCGTACCGTACCGCCCCCCCTGCCTGCAGTACGACCGCCGCTCCCAGTTTGACCGCATCGTGATTGAGACGACGGGCCTGGCGCAGCCCGCGCCCATCATCCAAACCTTCTTCCTGGAGCCCTCGGTGTCGGACCGCATGCGCCTGGACGGCGTCGTCCCCCCCCCCCCCCCCCCCCCCAAACATACCCACACCCGCCCCCCCCACCTCGTTGCGTGTGCACGGCCCATTGTCCCCGCTACACCTGCAGAGCATCAAGGGGGCGGTACCGGCATGCTGTGGTGAGCGCCCGTGCCCCAGCAACCGGCTCAGCGGCATGCTGCTCCGGCGCCTGCCAGTCCCGACTCACCCACACTTGGAGGTGGCCAGCAGGCAGTTGCCGCGGCGGCAGTCCTGGTCTGCCTTACACCCCTGCCCATCCTCCGATTGCCTGCACAGCAGGCTGGGGGCGCAAGCTGAGCCTCAAGCAGCCCAACCGGGAGGCTGTAAGCTGTACCATCGCCGCAGGTGCCACTGCCGGCTGCAGGTTGGTGCTGCCGCCGCCCTTGCCCCCTTCTGCCCCTGCCCGCCCCTGCCCCTGCCCTCCCCGCGGCTCCGGCGCACCCGCATTTGCTGTTGAACGTGTTGCAGACCCCGCTGCAGCACTCCACATTGAACTCGCATGCCGCGTCCCTGGCCTTGCAGTCTGCTGGCCCGCCGCACAGGTTCGAGCCCAGGTCGCAGCCGCCAGCACTGCGGCACCGGACATGAACCACTGGTGTCGTGTTGCTCGGTTGGCCAGGGGCGGCCAGGGGCAGCAGAGCTGCCTGCCAGGCAGCCCTCGCAGGAGCCCTGCCTCCCATCCCCAGCGCACAGCGAGCCTGCCGTGAGCCCCAGGGCCGCACCCCCTCACCAGCAGTCCTCTTCCCGATTGCAGAAGCCGCCCACCGGGCTGCAGCCGCACTTTTGACTCGACCAGTTGCAGATGCCGCTGCAGCCTGCAAGGGGATCGACACCAGCAGGCGGCAAGCTCTGCTGAGGCCAGCTCCCCACTGCTCCGGGCATCCGCCTCACAGCTGCAGCCCTGGCAGCTCCCCAACCCTCGTGCAGCGCCCGGCTGCCGCCCTCTGCCATGGCAGCTGTGCTGGCGCAGCACTCACACTCTATGCTGTCGAAGCAGTCGACGCCGTCTTTAGAGCAGCCGCAGCTGTTCTCGTTGCACAGGTTGTTGCAGCCTGCACCCGGGCAGGGGAGGCACCAACATGTCATGGTCGAATGGGTGCCAGGCGGGTGCCAGGCGCTTCGGCAGCAGGTAGCGCAGGGCAGAGCAGGGGCCGCGGCCGGCGCTGGCGCCGGGGACCCCTCGCTCAGCTGCTAGCAGAAGCAGGCAGTGAGCAGGCAGCGCCAGCTGCAAGCCGCGCTGCGCCTCACAGTCGTTGTTGCAGAAGCAGAGCTCGCCCTCCGCGGCGCACCCGCACTGGTTCGTCAGCTTGTTGCTGCGAGGCGGCCGCATGGCAGGGCGGGGCTCAGAGGGTGGCGGCTACGCATCCAAGGCAGCGGCGCTTGACAGCCAGGCCACCCTGGGCGCTCCTCGGGCTCCCGCGCCCTCCCCTGCCCGTCCCTCTGCGGCCCCGCGGGCAGCCCGGCCGGGCTCACCACACGTTTGTGCAGCAGCGCGAGTTGAGGTCGCAGAAGCCGCCGTCGGGCGGGGTGGGCGCGGCCTGCACATGAGGGTCAAGGGGCAGGGCTCAGCATACAGCAGGGCAGGAAAGCGGGGCCATGAGAGCCGGGTGCACTTGGAACTTTCTTCCTGCCCATCTGCGGCAGGCCGACAGCATGCGCACCTTGGTGGTCTGGGGCGAGGTGGCCTGGGCCTTGGGGGCCGAGGGCGAGGCGGCGGCGGTCTGGCAGCGGCGTGGACACACTGCGGCGATTGGTGGCGGGGATGGGGCAGACGTGTGGTGCACTCAGCGGTGCACTGAGAAAACCCAGGCAATCAGCCAAGCGACAGGGCCAGCCTAGACTATCGGCAGGCGGGGGCTCAGCCAAGGAAGGTATCTGACGAGGGCCAGGCACGCCCGCCGTAAGCGGCGGCGGCCGCGCACATCCCCGCCCCGCGCGTCCCCGCCGACACGCGGCCCCACACAGCGCAGCGCTGGGCTCCTTGTAGCGGCCTCCAAACGCTCACCGGGCCCACGCTGCTCCATGCCAGCACCGCCAGCGCTGCATACAGCAGGGCAGGAAGGCGGCCCCCTGGGGGGCGGGCACAACTGGAGGCCATGGCTTGTTCAGGCCCTCTGATGCAACATCAAAGCTGCTGGAGGGCAGGAGACGGGCCGCGGACGCCCGCCCATGGCCTTTGTAGGGGTGAACTGAGCAAGTGCCCTGCCGTGCTGGCGATTGCCCTTTGTCTGAGCGCCTCAATCAAAGCGGGGAGTTTATAAGCCACCATAGAAGCTTGCATGCAGAATGGGCAGCGTCCCGGAGCGTCCCACGGCCCAGGGTACCGGCGCCGCCGCCAGCCGGCGCAACCGCGGCAAAACCGTTTGCCCCCGCTGCCTGCCTCCCGGCACTGGTGGCACTATTCATTTACTGAAAAGGAGTAAATAAAGCACATTGAATCAAACCGATCAGAAACACTGCAACTGAAGGATGTGTTACACGGCTGATGGCCGCCGCCGCCTGCTGCCCCGCTGGCAGCACTGCTGCGCACGGCATGCGCCAGCAACAGCTGCACGCCGCCGCTGGCTTGCCTGCCGCGTTCAGGCGGGGCTCACGCCTCGAAGGCCACCAACAACCGACTTGCTGGCATGGTGTGGTGCAGCTCACTGGCGCCCTGCCGCCTCAGGGCCCATCAAAGGTCGGGAATCAACGCCTCTGTGGCGTCTTCCAGCCCCCGCACCGCCTTGACGCTGTGCCCCTTAAGAATCACCCAAATCGCGTGGATGACGCCTGCAACCGCAGCGGCAGCCACGTGTGGGCCTGGGCAGGCAGGCCAAAGCGGCAGCGGGAGCGGCGGCGACCCCCAGGAGCAGCCACACCCCTGCCCGGCTGGGGAGGCTCTCACCAGGCAACCACACGAAGATGGTGAGGATCAGGTTGAGGCAGACCACGCCATTCAGCTTGTTCTGGTTGATGTACACTGCAGCGAGGGGCCACGAGTTGCACACGGCGTCCGCTCAGCGCCGCAGGCGCAGCGGGGGCGCAGCCAGGACGGCAGAGGGGCGGCGGAGTAGCGGCGGCAAACCCCGAGGCTCCAGGCCCTCCGACACCCTTGCAGCTCCCGTGCACAGCTGCCGAGCTTACCTGCCAGCGGTGGCAGCACGATTGCCACAAGGCAGAGCGCAATGTCCTTCCCCTGAACCATGGCTTGTTTCTGGGGAGCCTCTGGGCGCTGCTGACGCGACACCGAGGTTGCGGGGGTGTGGGAAGAGCTGGCACGCGGCGCGGGCTGCCCTGCAGATTTGCCGCCACCCGCCCGCAAGGCGCCACCTCGCCAGGCGGAACCAAACCCTGAGGGGAAGGAGGGAGACACCTTGTGAAAACATCAGTAAGGCTAGGGCCCCAGGGCTGAAGGCCATCGGTGTGTCGCTGGAGGCCCAGAGCGCCTTGTCGCTGTGTTTCATGCCCGCGGCGAGGCGCTGCGCATGTGCCGACCGCCGCCGTTCGTGGGGCTGGGGGCCAACTCCCCGTGTGAGTGCTGCCGCTGCCTGGCCCCGTCAACAACTGTTGGAATTCATTCAATTCCAATCCCTCTGTCCTTCTCTGGCATGCTAGGATGGATGAGTGGGGGTCGTCGCCGCTCGCGGCGTGTGGCTGCTGTGGCGGCGGTGGCGGCCTGCCACCTGCCACGGGATAAGACTGTTGTCGCCATGCACGTCTCCACATTACCGCCTTCTTGCAAGCTCCATTGCGGCAAGTGCGCGTCCTGCGGCTTGCCCTCCCACTTGTTAGGGTATTTTTTCCCTGTGCCGTTTGCGCAAGCCCAAAGACACGCACTGGCTGCTCTCTGAGCCCCAGATTGCATCTGCGGGAGCTCACCGCTCCGGCTTCGCCGCCCCGTAGCCCCCAGCCTTTGCTCGTCCCTATGGGGGTCGCGGTGGGCGAGGGTGCCGCCAGCAGCAGCAGCGAGAGCGACGCAGCGCCGCCAGCGTTGGCCCAGCAGAGCAGCGGCCGCGACCTGGACCGGCTGGAGAAGGCCGATACCACCGACGGTGGCGGCGGCAAGGGCGGCGGCAAGGGCGGCCTAGAGCTGGCGGCCAGCGAGGAGAGCGAGCCTGAGCCGCAGTTCCACCGCCGGCACGGCACATGGAAGACAGCTGTGGCGCACGTCATCACAGCAGTGATCGGTGACATGGGCAGCACCCCTGTGTGTGTGGGAGTGCGCTGGTATCGGCTCAAGTGGCCACACTTATAAACCGCTGCTAGGGCGTAGAAGACGGGGCCTGCACAACTGGCCCCTCCTCGCCCAGCCGCCATCACCATCCCTGCAGCACCCCAGGCCCAGTCACCTGCTCCCGTGCCTCCCTGCCTTGTGTGTTGGTGCAGGCGCCGGCGTGCTGGCGCTGCCCTCTGCTATCGCATGGCTGGGCTGGCTGGGGGGCATGTGTTGCCCCCTGATGTGGCACCCTCCCGATTGGGCAACCCCCGCCCCCGCTCCCTCCTGGCAGCCCGCGCGGCGCTCCCCTCCCATACGTGAACTGACCCCATATAGCCCTGTTTGAGGGTTGAGCGGGGCGGAGCGGGGCTGCTTGCACACGTGATGGCATGCCCGCTTCAACGCTCCCGCTGTCATCTCACCTCTCTAGCGTCAGAAATACAACTCTTACAAGCCAACCAACACGAACAGAGAGACCGAACAACAGAAATGAACAGGAAATATAAAGCCGCCACAGGCGGCAGCACCTTCCAGCGGAGACGGCAAAGCGTACAAGGCACACTTTTTCAATGGTTCTTGCAATTGCCACCCTTACCGGTTATACAGCCACAGTGCCGCCCACACCGCGCACCATTCTTCTTGCAGCTGCAGTTCCGGGTGCAGGCGCCGCGGCAGCCGCAGCGCACGGCTGCCTTGCCGCCGCCGGGCTGCGCCGCCATCGCCACATTGAGAGACACCACAGGCACTCCTCGCTGCGCCGTGCCGCTGAAGGTCAGCTCGCTGGCCAGGCTGGGTGGCGCCTTAGATAGCCTGCTGGCCTGATGCATACCCTCCACCACTCCAGCTCCGCTCCGCAGCCGGTACATGGTCACGCCAAAGGGCCGCTTGATCTCCACCACGCGGCACACGATGCGGTTGCGGCCCAGCTGCTTGCCCACTTTGCCGCGCTTCGGCGGCAGCAGCAGCACGTCATCGCCCACAGCAAAGTCCTTGGGCTCGCCCTTTGGCCTGCGCTGCGCTGCGATCCGCTGGCGGTTCTTCACCTGAGCCGCCGCCACTCGAGAGCGGGTGGCCTGCAAGTGTGCTGGCATGGGCGGGTGTGGTGCTGCCAGCGTGCCGCCCTCCTCCGCCTCTGCTGCTGCCTGCTCCTCCCCCGCCTCCGAAGCTGCTGCCGCAGCCGCCGCTGCCAGCACTGCTATGCGGTTGCGGCGCTGGCCAGCAGGCTGCTAGTGGCAGCGGTGCGCTGTGGCAGCTGCCGCATGGGCAGCACCTCCTCCGCGTC